ATACAATAACACCCCCACTGGATTTTTCAATAGTAGTGACTGTTTCTACTATTCCTAGAGAGGGGCATAAAGTTGGGGGTAATGACGACAAGACGTGCGAGAATCTCAACCAATCAGGCTGGTTGAATCCGGGATGCCATGATGAATTTTGTCAGCGTTGCCAGCTTACCCTAAGCGGACTTTATCTTAAGGAAATACTTTACCTTTTATAATAGGCAGAATGAACGAAATCAGTTAATTAGATAAATATACATTATTACAATAAGAACTACGTCAACATATTAGCATATATATAATTATGTATGCTGAAATGAACTAAAATGTATTCAATTTATAGGTAATCTCGAGCAATTTTGCTTTTCTATAATTAAACGTGACAACATCGACTTTTTTTGCCCGCATTCCTTCCGCTGTTTTAGATTCGTTTGTCAGATATTAGTTTGTCCTCTTTTACAAATATTTAAACAGTTTTTTTTTTATTGAAATAAGCGAACTACTACGACAATATTAGTATCTGGTACTCTTTGAAAAGTTGTTACATCTTTAAAAATATTCTAAAATGTCAATATTCCATGGGTGTATTACGAAAACTTGAAGAGATAGGTAAAAAATGGTGTAATACAATTTGATAAACAATTAAATTATGCATCTGATTCTCATAAAGTATACAGGGTGTTCCATTTAAATTAAACAAGTTATTTCCAGTTAAAAATTATAAAAAATAAGGGTAAAAATTATAAGAAAATGCATTTTCTACGAAAACTTGAAGAGATGGGTAAAAAATGGCATAATACAATTTGATAGACAATTAAATTGTTCATCTGATTCTCGTAAAATATACAGGGTGTTCCATTTAAATTATTATTGCCGGTTAAAGTTAGTAATTATTTAAAATAAATGTTTGGACACTCTGTATAAGGTATTATTATTTTTATTATTGCAACACAAAATTCAGTAAATAGAAAAACTTCAGTATAAAATCGGCTCATTTATTTAGTATGTAAAAAATAATTTTATTTAAAATACAGTTAAATCTGGTACTTATTCTTGATTATACTGTACTATAATACATTTCCTTAAGAACGCAGGCTCCTTGTGGTGTCCTACATGATATATTATCGCACCAACAACCGCCTACTAACAGTGGTTTGCAGTCAGTATGAAAAGTTACGCAGTTATTCCCGCATTCGTTGTGATATCTGGAAACTTCACCGTTCGTGGCATTGCACGGACATTGGACAGCATCGACGCATCTGTTGGTTGCTTCGTTTAAATAGTAGTTTTGCTTACAGAAACATCGCTGGACCATGTATCTACCAATATCGGGCTGGAAACAGAAACCTGAGAAAAAAAATGATAAATTTGAAAAATATGACAAAAATAACAAAGAAATAAATGCTTCCTCTTACTTAATTCATTTTTAAATATCTAATAGAAACAGTAATTATATTGTTACGTTTTTCGTCGGTTCCGTGTGGATAGAAAGTCACAATTTATTTAAACACTATTTATTTAACACTAATTAACAAAAACAATAACGATAAAAGACTTATAGAACTATTTACAAACGATTTATAACTAAGAATTTATTTTGAATTTTAGCGCGTCAACTGCACTGGTATATTTATAACTGCCCCCTGTAGGCCACCGCCGCGCCGCCGGCTTTTATACCGACAGGTAAAGAACTCTAGAATAGTCCATAGATCGTTAGGTGCGTAGAGAAGGTTTTCGAATGTTCTCGTATGTACTAGTCCATTCCAGTGGGATTCGATTCTTCTCGAACGAATGAATCATTGCGGTGTCTATGCGATGTTAAGGTCATCCGAGGGCGGGCCATATTGTGAGGTTAGGTCGAGTCCACACCGGCCCGCAACAATATTATGCTTATTTAACTGTATAGGCTTGGTGCTTTTTCCGCCGGTGCTACCACCATCGGAGAATACTGTAAACAGCGGACTGAACAAATACAAAACGAGTTTAAATAGCGAATACACGAAAAAAAAATTATTCTAATATAAGTGTTCTTCTTTCAGTGCCTATCCTCTATGGATGCTGGCAATCATGTTGGTCCACATAATCCTATTGACAGCCGCCTTGAATAGATGTACGGTCGTCATTCCCGTCCACTGTCTAATATTTTTCAGCCATGATGTTCGTCGGCGTCTCTACTACTATCTATTTTGCCCTGCAGTATCAGTTGGATAAGTTGGTATTTATCATTACGCATCACATGCCCAAGGTATGCCATTTTTCTCACTTTCACACTATGTACTATTTCTAGTTCCTTTTGCATTCTCTGGATCACGGTGTTATTTGTGACATGGTAAGTGTATGAGATCCTGAGCATGCGGCGGTAGCACCACATTTCAAAGGCTTCCAAGCGTATAGATGTAGCATCTGTCAGGATCCAAGCTTCCACTCCATATAGGAGCGTGGAGAATACGTAGCACCTTAGAACCTGTGTTCTTATAGCAATATTCAGGAGCATATTGCATAGGATTTTTCTAAGACGGTTAAAAACGGTTCTGGCTTTTTCTATGCGGCATCTGATCTCTCGTGAGTGTTCCCATTCCTTGTTCAAGCTGCAGCCCAAATACGTGATTGTATCTGCTGTTTCCAAGGTTTCGTTATTCGCCGTAAACTGCCGGTACTGCGCCTCATCATTTTTACTAACTACTAGAATTTTGGTCTTCTTGCAGTTAAGCCTCATACCATACATATCACATGCCTCTACTACTCGGTCTATTAATTTCTGCAATCCCTCAGCAATATCTGCTATGAGAACTGTATCGTTATACATTAAATTATTGATGGTTTCTCCATTGATCTTTATTCCTTCTTCTGTTTCACTGAGCGCTTGTCTAAACAGTATTTCGGAGTACGTATTAAACAGAATTGGTGAGAGTATGCATCCCTGACGCACACCTAACGCTCATTCTCCGTGTTAATTTATGAAAATTCAAAAAATAAAAAAGTAAATATTTTTATATCTTTAGACTGTCTAACTTGTATTATAATTTATTATTCCAGCTAATAAAACTTTTTAGATGAGTTCATTCAATTATACCATTAATATTGCAAATTACATTTTATCCTCTTATAGTACATATACCTATTTCATTTTTTGATTACGTAATGGGAACTTTGTTTACTCACTTGTTTCGTCGAACTGCTTGAATTCATTTTTGCTTTTTATCAAATATCGGTGTGAGAAACTATGAAACTATAAAATGCTGTTTCGGGAGAGTTGAATATCCGGGAAAGTTGAGTTATTGAATGTTATTGCACCCAACAACCACGTAATTACGCCCTCCTTTACGCGTTAACATTTTTCTCGGCAATTTTATTAACATTAGAAATTGTGACAACACAACATGACGCCTAGTTTGAATTGTTGTTCACTTATTTTTTACTACCCGAAACAACGTTACATCACACAACACTCATACCTGAGTGTTTAATAGTTTTAAATAACTGCACGAGTAAAAATCTAAAATACTTAAATATTATGACAAAGCCACGATTTAAATATTATTTCAATGCGATCGACATGAACGGTAAAGGGACTGCGTGAAACACTTTGGTACTTCTAATTTTAGCCGCATCGAGCGCTGCGGTCGGAATTTTTAAAATCAACTGAAATGCACCAAGCCTATTGTCAAGGTATGTGTGGCGACATCTGTCGGAGAAGTATTTTTTTACATTTGAGCGTGTATTGCTGGTAGAGGTTTCATCTTTAATACAGGACATTGCAATGACTAAAGAATGTAAGGACATGTAACGCCCCCTATATGGGGGCTGCAGCAGAAGTTGTGACCTTTTGTGACGCCTTTTCTTTTGTTGGCAAACAATGAGTTATCAGCTGGTCACCAGCGACAATTTTTGCGATTTTTAATAACTAGTTGTGTGTAGTGAACTTTGTATAAACTTTATTACAATGGTTATTTGTTAAGCTTTCAAATGTAAAAGGCGCAATGATAAGAAAGAGCCAGGAGTTAACGTTTCATAGGTAAATAAACAGTCCACTCCAACTTTTTAGCGTTTTCTTATTGGATTCGATAATTATTCTTCAATTTCAATTAACATCATAGGCGTAGTCAAAACAACTATCAAAAAATATAAATATTGCTTTAAACAGCTAGGTTAAGAAAAACATGTGCTACGGCACTGTTTGGTGCTTGGATTCTTTAGTCATTGGGACATTGTTAGAAGCGCCATCTTTTAGACTCAAGTGGAAATAGATTTTACTGGAACCAGAAAGAACGTTACAGATAATTTTCGAACGTTCGACAAGCAACCGCTAGGAGGTATATAAGCGCAACCGCGCTCAGCAGTTTAGTTTAGTTTGAAATACGGTCAGTTTTTGAATAGCGAATGTTGACAATTTGGCGAAGGATTTTTTCAAATAGATAATTGTGTGTTGTAATTTGTAATCAGTATAAATTGTGTGTATATAGTGAGAAAATAAATTCGTTAAGTATTTTATCGTGAGTTTAAATTAGTGGACCCACGGAATTCGTATATACATACTCTCATATCTGATGTATGTATGTATTTTAAATTGTTATATTCAAGACATCGTAAAATTAGTTTTACTTATAATTACTTGGGTTTTTCAATAGATTTCTTTGTTTGCAAGTCACTACACATCTAGGATGGTCAAATCTTACTTCGGCATTCGGATCTGCACATTCCTGTTGTTGTGAAAAGCCTATAGAAAACTAATTACTACAAAAATACGATATAGTATACAAACAAAAAATTATACCTAGCGAAATAAATGTAAAAAATATTACCACTCCAACACACATAATAAAGTGTCTCATTTTTTAACAATAATAATACACATTACAAAGGCTGACATTCAACCAACATAGATACATTTATATGTCTTATACTCGTGATAAGGAATATTTATTTAAAGTAATTTTTAAATTCACAAAAAAATTATTTTGATAAAAAGTATAGAATCCATTATTTTATGTATTGCATTGATAAAAACAATATTTTCTAGGAATAATTATACCTACCAATATATTTATCTATAATTTTAATTATACAGGGTGTCCCAATATTCCGTGGACATAGAACTATATACTACGTATTTTTAGAATCAAACCAAGTTAATTGGACACAATTTGACAATGATTTATGCTTTATTTATTATTTATGCTATATAAATGTATTGCAACATTGCAACACCTAAATTTTGTTCCTACTATCTGATTTGTAGACCTTTTTTGTATAAAGCATCATAATTACATTCCTCATTAATTTGATATACCTCATTTAATACAATTTTTTTATCATTTTTATCCATCTTACCATGATTCCTTTTTTTTCCAAATGAATTGAAATTTAAACTATTTCATTTAGTTCCCTTATTTTCAAAGTTTAAAAAAAATCATTGCCATGAAATTTATTTTAGTAAACTTACTAATAATAATACCTCTAATTGTATATTCTCAGGGTAAGAAAGTATTGTTTTACTATCTTTTATATATTTTAAAAACAATTTGAATATTTCTCTATATTCAGATTCACAAAATGAATCTTCAGAACAAAGTAATTTAGAAGAATCAAATGAAGAGGCTGATATTCCTACTATTGCCACTGAAACAACCAATACAAATCTCAATACAGACAATGAAGAACAAGAAAAAGAACCTACAACACCAGAATCCATGTCAGAAACAACAATAAATGATTTAACGACTGTAGAAAATATAGAAACAACCACAGAATTCGAAACTACAACTTCCACGTATCCGTGTGGTGAAAATGAACAATACGATTGCCTACCTCTTTGTATCAGGACCTGTCACAATGTTTTATCTAAAATTGTATGTGCCCCTGCACCGATGAGGATAGGTCCTTGGTGTAAAGAGGGCTGTCATTGTAAAGACGGCTTTATTAAAGACAAAACTGATGGTAAATGTGTGAGGGAATGTCCTTTTAGGAAACCCTCAACTGTTGAAGTTAATGTCAGTGTTAAAGTTGGATAGAAACAGTTTTGTATATACAAAAATATAAAAATATATTTAAAGGCACTTATTAAACCATATAACGAATATATTTTAGTTATTTCTTGAACCCATCTAACACAAGTTCTTCTTTTAAGTTTAACACTTCCTCTAAAAGTTCCCTATTATTCTCTTGAAGTTTTTTAATAGTAGTTTTATATATTTCTTCGTTAACTCTATATTTCTTTAGTAAACTGAGTGCAACACTATTTCTAGAACTATCCGTAACTAAAAGAAAAAATATTTTTAACAAAGGAAATGAACTAAAATAATTCGTATTTTAAAGTTACCAATGTCCTGGTTAAACATCTCCTTCAAACGTTCATTTTCCATGTTTAATTTTCTTATATTATGTTCCAGCTCGTTTTGTTTTGATATATACCACAGTTTCAGTCTTTTAATTTCATCTTTAGAGTCGCATTCTTTTTTGGAAAGCTCTCTAATTTTTCTTTCCAGTTTGAAAATTTCGTTTTTTAAAGTTACAGAATTTTCTTGTGATTTTTCTAAATGTTCCTTATATCTATCTAACTGACCCTAGAAAATCAAGGTTTTCACAAAAATAGACAGACAAATAGGCTATATTCTTACGTAGGCTTGATTATTTTTGAGATCTTTGGCTTTTTTTTCGAGATTTTGGTTTTTAATTTGGCTTAAAGCATTCCGGTGTATATGTACTAAACCTCTGCTACTTTTAACAACTTGCTGAAGAAGATCAGTCACAGAACCTTCTAATTTTACTATAGGTAAACCTAACGAGTCCAATTCCTAGAATAATTAATAGTAAAGTTATTTGAAGTAGAGAGTATTTTGGTTTTACCTTGGACAATACAATTAAATTTTCTTCCAAACATGCTGGCACTTCAAACTGCTTACTCGCAGCCTTCGGCGAATATTTCAGTTCAATCTCTTCCAAATCCTTTGAAATCTGATCTAAATTTATCAGAGATTCGTCACAATCCAACATCTAGAAGAAAAACATTCGTTATTTTGTTTAAAAAGGAAATCTTTTAAAAATTCCCACCTTTTATCTAGTTTTGCTGTCATCTGTCAAAGAAATTGGAAATAGAGATCTTCAATCCATGTATTTATAGTTAGGAATAGAGAATTACCGTCATGGATTTACTTGAAAAACTGCAAAATTAAATAATATCCTTTTAGTTATAGATTTTTTATTGAATCAGTAAATTTAGTAATGTAATTTGGTAAAACGATCCTATAGTTAACATTCTGTATTTTTATTATGTTATAGAATGTTATCATATTTAGGCAACTAATAATACATCTATTTGAATAAAATCCGATTTTTCTTGGATATTTCAGAATCAAATCAATCATAATATTTGGAATTTTTATTATTTATTTATAGGTCGCTTGTTTATTACTTGGGAGCCAGATTGACGTACCAATTTTCGAAATCGTTTCACTCAATCAGCACAACACAGTTGCATCACGTCAGTGGGGGGTCTAAATGAAAATATATATGTACTCTTATCATGTTTTGATGTAATTAACTCTTCACCTACTGTTAGGAAAGCTCTTTATCGGGCGTTGGTTACGAAAAAACGTCTGTTTTCCTATAGTTCGGTAATTTTCCATTAGAAGTGATGGAAAATAATTGATTTTAAATATAGAAAATCAAGTACTGACGTATAGGTCAATAAATGATATAAAAATATAGTTTAATACGAACACAGTTAAATTTTTGAAGTACCATACGATCGAAAACATATATTGTCATTCCCCAGCCGTCTTTAACGCCGTTATTTTTTTGATCATACGGTATTTTTAGCTAAAGTTTCTGCATAAAGGATGTCTATAAACTCTTCTTACATTTATTGAAATTATAGAAGTAAAAAAGAAACTTTTTTCCACAAATATACCGTAAATTGGGGTAATTTTGGTACGATTTTTAGGGTTTTTCATTGATATAGTCCTTGTTATATGAAATATTTAAACTTTTAAGCAGAGTCATTATATATATAGAGTGTCCCAGACACAAGTGCAAGTATTTTAACTGGGAGTATAGTTCAATCCCAGAGACACGCCTATGACGTTTTTTTCGCGAAAAAATAATTTTGAAAATTCGGAATGTTTTGAAAAAATGTTTGGATTTTGTTTTAATTTTTAGTTAAAAACATAATTTCTTGATAATATGGCAACATAGGTAGTAGATTAAATTTACAAGAAAGAAAATCCAGAAAAGAGCTAGTGGTTCTCAAAATTTTAGCAAAAAATATTTTTTTTTTGGAAATTTTCGAAGTAAAATACCTCCGTTATTTTGGACTTGAAAATGGACAAAGAGAAAATATGTTTCTTTTATCAAGATCTACCACCCCTTAAAGTACTTGCACTTATTTCTGGGACACACTGTATAAATGAAGCTAAAAAATATATTCTCGTAATATTAGGGCAGTAGATGTACATATGTTTCTTTTAAAAAACTGAATCTTTTTACTAAAGAACGAACAAATACAGATAGCAAATAGATTATTAATTTTACAGATTCTAAGGATTAAATATTCATCATAAAAATAAAAGAATATTTTTCTTAGATAGGTACAACCAAAGTTTGCGACTTATTGTCTAAAATATTGCAGTAAAATTAAGAAAGTATTATTCTTAAATAAAAAGGCTAATGTATGTGCACCCTAATTTTGGGCTTCTAATAACTCCATAAAAAATATCTTTGTTTTCTCTTTTTGTAATTCCTTGATCTGGGTAAACGCCGATATTGATGAGACATATTTGGTTTCCAAAGAACATTTAGGTGTACCTTTGCTTAGTACTAGTCTTAATAATTTAAATTTACACATACAATAAACTAAAATAATAAGTGCTTTAAAAAGAAAACTTCAATTACTATGTCCAAGTTTAGTAGAAAATGATATTCATACACATACTAAACAATTCGTAGGGAGGCTTTGAGACAGTTTCAAAATTGGCCCGCGGAGATAAAATTTTGTCTAGATATTAAAAAAAAAATGTTTTTTACGTAAAATTTAAAGAAAATAATAGTTTTGTAAGATATACTAACTAGTTTTTCATAGAACTTTTTACAGTTCTGTTGGTAGTATGGAAAGTATATCGTAAAATACACGTTGACTTTTTGACTTATCGAATTTATACTTATTTTTCCACGGAACGTTTGGTCACCCTGTATAGAAACCCAAACAGTAATTTAATACATGATATATTTTTATATGAAAAAAACCATAATAGATAAGAAAACATAGAAGCATTACCGAATTAAATGTTTATAGGAGGTAAAAATAGCTTACTTAGGCGAAAAATATTAATAATTTGAATTACGTAATTTAAAAATAAGTATTTTCGAATGATTGAAATACCATTTGAAATTTCGTAAAATTGATTTATGAACTTTTGATAAACTTTGCAATTATTGGTCGGAGAATATTTGCATGATGTACACTGAAAAAAATGAGACAAACCATCCGCAAAAAAATAAAAGTCAATCAGAAAAAGCCTAAGGGAAGCTCAAGTAGTATTTTTTAACGTTGCAACTACTGGGAGTTCTATAGAACTCTTATACAATTCGTAATCGAATCCTCCTAATAAATACAGAAGTTAGGCAGGGATGTGTCTTAGCACCTCTCTTATTCAACATATTCATGGCAGCACTCTCCATTATAGTGGACAGCAAACTGCAGGAAAGAGGAATGGGCATTAGGTACAGGAAGATACGACGGCGCTCTGTACAACATAAAAAGACTCAGGACAAACATACGTATAAAATTCATCACAGAACTTCAATACGCTGATGACTGCGCTTTAGTTGCAAAAACCTTACAGCAATTACAAGAAATGTTTAACACATATATCTGGGCATACGAGGCTTTGGGACTTAAGCTGAACATCGATAAAACTAAAATCATGTGCTCAAGTAAATCATAACAATGCTATAAAAATCGGAGAAAAACTATTGGAATATATGTAACGGAATTCAATTACCTTGGAAGTTTAATTTCGAAAAGGGCCAATATCGACTCTGAAATTCAGCACAGAATTAGCAGCGCTTCGCAGGCCTAGGTGGAAATAATTAGGGGCAAGCTGAATTATTTTTTATTTTCTTTGTTTTGATGTGCTCAATTTGCAAGGTCCGTCGATCCCGGATTTGGCCGCCATTTTGAAAATGTCGATATAAAAACTACATTTTTATGGATTTTTTAAAATATCTCGGTCTAGGTGCATTGTAGAAAAAAACGCAGGTTGTAGTATGGGCGGCTATACGTGCCTCCCGACGCCAATTTTTTTTTAAATACATCTTAATGTGCGCTAGCGTTAAATTTGATACTTGATCTATTCGACAACAGCGCGAGACGGCAGCAGGGCTGCAGCGTGGCTGCAGCGGTCAATTACGCAAACCAGTTCGGGCGACTTTTAGTTTTAGTGTTTCATTATACTATTCCGAAGTAAGACACAAAGATTAGGATTAGGTCTATAGGGGAAACCACTTAAAAAAAGTGCGCCGAGTGCTCTATCGCTAGGTAGTGTAGAAACGAGCACAAGAAAAAAACATAAATTTGTACTGGCAAATCATTAAAATTTACATAGAATCAGTTTCTCATATTAAATGAACCACTAGAAAATATATGCTTCGTATTTAAGCGCCTGTATCTCGTTGACCTGTTCATGCACCAAATCGGTGAATAGGACCTTTTTTGTAGAGAATTTAAATAGCTTTCTTTTTGGTCTCTTTCAAATTTTCTGTACAGTGCACCCAGACCGAGTTGTTATTTAAAAAAAAACATAAAAATGTCATAATTTGACAGGATTTTCCAATATGGCGGCCAAATCCGGGATCGATAGACCGTGCAAATTTAGTAGAGTATCCAACAAAGCAAAACAAAGAGAATAAGTGTTATTGCAGCTTGCCCCTAATTATTTCCACCTAAAACCACTTGTCGACTGGTCTAATAATATAAAATGCTAATGTTTATCTGTGTCGTCTCTACTAAGTAACGACTTGCTCTAGAAAGTTGCTTTTTTTACTAAAAGATAGTCAATTGGCTCTTCAAAAAACTGTCGTCGCCGGATTTTTTGTTTTTCATTTAATTTAAAAAAAATATAAGTATTTTTTTTCCTGATGTCGTGGGCGGATGCGCCAGGCTTCAACTAGTATTATATAAGCTTCTTTTTCTTTTCACTTTTTCAGCATCTAATTTTCACACTAGAATAGGTCCTAGGAATGACATTTTAGACGTAAAAGACTTGGCGTTTGTAGAATACACTGACTGAACACGGACTGAGTTTTAAAAGTACGTTGCTACCTTTTCAACTTGATAATACCACCATTGACGTCGTTGATTCTGTGAAATTTTTAGGCCTTGTTGTGGACAACTATTTAAGATGGGATTTGCACATCGATGCTTTAGCTAAAAAATTAAGTTCTGCCTGTTTCGCACTTAGATCAGTTGCTAATGTGCTTAATTTGTCAACATCTAGGACAGTCTATTATGCCCTTTTTGAGTCGCATCTCCGATACGCACTTCCATTCTGGGGTGCGTGTTGTGCGACTCAATTTGAGCGTATCTTCAAATTACAAAGAGAGCTGTGCGACATTCACTGAGGCTAACCAGTCGTGCTCACTGCCGGGACTTGTTTAGAAGATATAAAATATTAACTCTTCCTTCCCTATTCATACTCGAATCCGTCTGCCTAGTTCGCAAGCACGTATCGAGTATTTCTCTAGAGCCAGTTCATGGCTATCCAATTAGGAACGCAGAGCATAACATGTATCTGCCAACCCCTCACTCTGAGTTAGTAAAGAGTTCCCAATTGTACAATGCAAAAAAAAATGCACTATCATCTGCCATCTGAAATTAATTCCATTTCATCCTTTCCTGCATTTCGCAGAGCCTTGAGATCATACTTACTGGAGAAAGCCTTTTACGCGGTTAACGATTTTTTTATTAATATCTAGGGTTCTAAATTTAACACACATTCACTAAATTTAAGAAATGATTTGTTTTCTATCCATTTAAATTTAGTATTGACATTATATACAGTTGTTTATTTACATGTATGTTTATATTTTATTTATATTTAATTAAATAAATTTTTGACAATGTACAATTTCTATAATTGTATAAAGTATTGTTTTAGTTTTGTATGTTTGCTGTTAGTTTTA